CAAGTTCGGTTGAAGTTGTTGCCATCTACCATCACATACTGAATTAACCTATTCAAACGAAGGTAAAGTTAATCACTGCAGTTAAACTTAGAAACTAAAATACATCAATGGAAAAATCACACTAAAGGCACTCAAAACACATAAAATTGCAATTTTTGTTGGGAGCTAAAATACAAACATTTTTATATTATATACGGACTTTTTATTATTCACAAACTTAAAAAACATTTACAAATATTCAACTTAATCATACGAATCATGTAAGATATATGGACATTATGTAATTAATAAATGGATCTTTCTATGTTATATACAATTTTTTTGTTATTCATAAACTTAAAAAACGTGTACAAATATTTGTAATAATAGTTGATCTTGTACAGCTTTATATTCAATCCACACAGTGAGTAATTGTGTGTTTTCTGTGCTAATCCTCTAGTTCCTTTGACTCACGCCCAAATCACTCCCACTCTGAAGCTAATTTTTGTGACCACTATTACTGTAGATTAATATAGTGGTGAGAATGGAGAAAGATAATAATATTTAAATCATAATACACTTCAACAGAGTATAATTTTATTTTATTTATCATTATATGTCATCTAATTAAAATCTTCACAGATATCTACGTGTGATTACATAATTTTTTTGTTTAAAAAAAAATATTAAGGGGAAATGATAATATATAAAAGTTCAAGATGTTTTTATAAATTTTCACTTATTGATCTTAAGGGAGAAAATTATTATGTGGATTTTCTTGTAATAATTACTTCTTATTTTTTTTAATAACTTGGGATAGTTTTCAGCACTGGCCATCACATTTAGGAGCATCATGATACTCATCACAACGATGAGATAGGATCTAAAATTGACTTTAACTATCAAGATTTAAAATTAATTTATTAGAAATATAAAAATTAAATTAAATTTACATCTAGATCATCTAGTTTTAATTTGAATGGCTTGGTACTCAACACCATAAAATGATCATGTATTAATTTACCAATTAGATCAACTGGCAACTACTAAGGTTTTTAGTATTAAATATCCTTTTTTTTTCCCCAAAACTTTCTTTCAAAGAGCGATGACCACTCTATATTAATAAGTGAGGTACTATTCCCTCTAAACCATTTTTTTCATAAGCAAAATACCCAGCACAACATATTTTGTTCCAGGCAATAATTTTCTTTCCAACAATTTTTGAACATATTGCCTAATGTGGCCATAAGCAATAGTTTTTAGATGTTGCTAGTGACCCTTTATTTTAAGCAACAAATATTTATCCTAAGATAAAATAGCGACAATTTTCAAATGTTAAAATAAAATTTTTGAATAAGAAATAAAAATATAAAGGTGCCTAGAAATCTTCTTGTTTGCAACATTTAAGACCTATTTCTTGTTGTTTTTCTACAAATAAAAATTTATTTTTAGTTTTTTGATAATTTTATATGCTTTTATCTATTTATTTTCATAATTTCTAATTTATTATTTGAATAAATTCAAGAACTAATTTAACAATTATCTATATATATATATATATATATTTGCATTACAATATCTAAAAGTCATGCTAGAAGGCGTGGTCAGAGACACCCCTTCCTCTCAGGACGTTCAAGGCTCAAATCTTGGGGAAGGACAAGAGGAAATATTAGACGAGAATGAAATAAAATAATAAAAAATAAAATAAAATAAAAAAATGAGCATATATAAAAAAAAGTGAGTGTAACATCTATTGTGAGAAATAAAATAAAGAAGACATTAGGAGGTACAAATGAAAACGGTGAAATAAATAATTTTAAACCTTATTAAAAGAGATAGAGAAATGTTAAAGAGAACACTTTTAAAAGTTGTTGACCAAAATCTTAGTTAATCTTTTTAAAAATTTGATAAATGACAACGCACAATAATATCATACAATTTATATAACCGACCTCACCTAATGACATAAAGGCTTATTGTTATTATTATTGTAACTATTTAGCAACAATTCTTAAATATGCCCATTTTTGTTATAAGCAAAATTTCATTTGCCTGACCAGCACCTGATTGGATCTAAACCTTAGAAGTTTTATTTTTTATTTTAATTATGATAAATATTATAAATTTTTTAATATATAAAAATTTTAATAAATCCTTCTTACCACCAATCTAGACATTACATATATAATGATCCTAAATTTTAAATTAAAAAAAGTCTCCCAATTAATATTTTTTAAATTAGTTTTATAGCAAATGGAGAGTGATGGCTTTGTGAAACTTATACTAATAACTCATCTAAAATTCTAGAGTTCAAATTCTTCTAAACATTAGGTTAATTTTACTTTGTTTTAAATTATGAAAAAACTACCACAGCACTCATATCTTTTTATGTTACAAGAGAAAAATGTTGTGGACTTTCTTGTAACTTTTTCAATTTTCTAATGTTTAGATTTTTTTTCCTCTCTTCCTTGCCATTCGATTCGAACATCAGGAGGGGGGGGGGGGACGAGAGAGATCGCGTTCATCTTCATAGCTCTTCTCTTCCCGTTGCGTTTCCTTTGACCTCACCGTCAGCTGTGCCTCTCCTCGCCTTCGCGTTCCGCGCTGGGGAGTGTTGCCATCACTGGATTCTTCCTTGTCCGTCACCGCTGTTTCTTTTCTGGTTTTTCTTTGCTTCATTGTCAGTGTGTATGGAGCAGTCAGTGCGTGAATTTCAACTTCTCTTCCTCCTCAGTTCTAGCCGTTGTGTGTGTGAGGTAAGCTCGATTTATCTTTTTTTGATCAGTGCTGCTGTGATTTTTTTTTTTTCCGCAAAAAAATCAGTAGCAGTCTGGTAGTTGAAGAAGGAATGGAATGATGGCTATTGTTGTATCTTGTGAAATTGGTAAAAGAAAGATTTGAGAAAACTCTAATAGCTTGTATTGGTACTTTGAAGTATATAGTTGTTAAATTTGAACTGAGGTGGTGTTTTGTGTAATGATTGAATGTTATTTTATTTTGTACTGTGTTCTGGACAAAGCTCAGGAGTGTTTAAAAAGAAATGTTGATAGAAGGTTAAGAAAATGTTATAAAAAGAATTGTTGATAGAAGGTTAAGAAAATGTTTACCTATGGATGGATCAATCTAGGTACCTACAAAGTAATTGATAAAGTGCCAAAATAAGCATTGTGGTTGGATTAGATTGTTAATTTCTAAGTTGAAGTATAGCGATGTATATATATGTGTTTAATTGTAATGTTTGGGATTGAATTTGAATGCGCTTACCAAGTGCTTGGAAATTTATTGTTAAGTGAAATTGTAGGTTGCAATAAATGCTTATTGAGTAAATAAAATCTTATTAAAATACTTACTTATTTTCATTAAGAAAAGAACAATTATTTGTTAGAAAGTTTAGGGTATTAGTAGAATCATTTGAAATTAATTAGGTGTGTGAATAATGTCCCAAATAATTTCTCATAGTATTCATAAATTTTTTAATTTTAATTTTTAATATTATCTCTTTATGAGTTGCATAAAATTCTTGTCAATTCTTTTGTTTATAATGGTTATCTTATTATTTACAATGTCTCGATTTTACCAAAGATTTTATGTTTGAGATGCAAATTTTTATTACAATTCGTACTTGGAAGAGATGAAAATGAGTATGGAAAATGGAGGATGACAGTTGAACAATAAACTTAAAAAAATGAGATTCTTTTAAAATTGTTTTTTAACTACATGCATGCTTGATTTTGATTAAGGAGTATTAAGTTCAAAACACTAATTACTAACAACAATTCTATTAACTCTAAATGCAACATGATACACCCAGGTGGCAAGATATTTAAGATGTGCTAACCCCATGCAAGAGCCAACACACGAATATTATTCCATCTATTGGTTTTAAACTAAATTTATTACCTATCACCTTCACATGTTTTTATCCATAATTCTAATTTGTATGCCACTCACAAAAAAAGTGTTTTTGATTTCAAATATTATAGCTGACCTTACACCTCCTACTAATCTTTGAGAGACACTATTGCTTTTTGAGACAGTAGAAGCATGTTTTGGTTAATTTTTTTTATGTAAATGTATATTCTATTATGTAATTATAATTTAGTTTAGTATTCCATATATACCATAATTTAGTTATAGTCTTATTTTATTATTATGAAATCCACAAGTATTGAGCTAAGCTCCTTCGTTGGATTGGCTGACAAGTTTTGATATCATAGAAATTTAGAGAAGGCCAAATTATCAAAGAAATTCTGCCAAAATTTCTACAAAATATTTAAAAGTCCATTTGAATTTCAGTTGGGTATAATTAATTATAAAAATAATTGATTAATAAGATTAATTTTAATCATAATTGGTTATATTATCAACACAGTTTATTTGGATACTAAAATTGATTTTAACTGTACAACATCACCATAAAGAGCATTACTTTTTAAAATTAAATTATTGATAAAGATATATTTAATATTATTAATTTTGTTATTTAATAGTAAAATATATTTAACAGTAAAATTGAATTTATAAGAAACCTCTTAAAGCATATTTCAAAACGTAATTTCAGCTCAATAATAAATTAAATTCTTTTTTTCTGTTCAGGATTTTTTAAAAAAATCGATTATTTAGGCCCTATATTCGAGATTATAATGTCTTCTCAAACAGTAAGACTTTACAAACTTTATAATGTTTTTTTTTAAATTAAACAGTTCAAAGTACATATGCATAATCAATTTATAAAAATTCTAAATTTTTTTAATTTTATTAAATTTATATTATCCACAAGGTATATTTATTAAAAGTTTTATAATATTTTCTTAAAAAAATAATTTAAATCTAAACATATAAAGCACCTTGATGAGCACTTCAGGGTGCTTAGCACCAAAACTAGCTCCTGATTTGATACCATGATTGAGTTTATAATAAAATTGAATGGTGGCAACGGAATCAAGACCCTGACCGCTAGACTAATTGTTGCGTCAGGGTGCTAGGGGAAAAAGTAAAGCGAGGATTGAAGTCCCTCTAGATCAAATTAATGATTATTAGATCTCTAATAATTTTTCTTTTACAAGAAAGAATTTTTTTTTTCCCCTCAAAGGAGTATCAAAGGGTGGGGCGGCAAGAGGATTCGTCACTGGTTACACATAAGATCTAATAACTAAAATACATGAACAAGATTCAGAATAGACAAATGTAAATAAACAACAAAGAAACTAAAAAAAATAACAAGCAAATAGAAGTATAAAATGTAAGAGACGAAGATAATGTATGCCAACCTGATATGGACGGCGTCTTCAAAGATCAAACTACTTCTCCGCTAGCGAGAGGAATGAAAAAATAAGCTAGAAAACCAGCAAGAACAATGAGGCAGACATGGTCACCACCAGCAGCTTAGCTATAGCTTCCATGAAAGATCAAACTTATTCAAAGCAACAAAATAAACCAATGATCGAAAGAAATGTGAAAGAAGAAATAAGAGATTTAAAGAAAGAAATTGTGTGATTTGATCTCAGGCGGAAGCTTTGAAGCAAAATTCGCATTATTCGATGAGATTATGGTAAAGGTAAGAGGACAGTCTAGAGTTGCTATAATAGTGTGGGAAATCAAGCGTCCAGGTCTTCTTTATGCTTTGGGTGAAGAAAAAGAAAAGGGTGTTATTTTTAGGGAAAATTTCATCAAAGGCCCACAAAATGGACTTAATTCCAAAAAAAGGAACTATATGAAATTACTCTACATGACCAGGGGACGGCAATAAATTTAAAAATACCCCATACTCTTTTTTTTTAAAAAAAAAAAATCCAACTTTAAGGTATAAGTTGTATTTTAACATGCCATCATGCTTAGCAGTTCAGATTTTAACGAAGTTATAGTTCAGAACTAGATTCGGGAATGTTTTAGTATTTAAAAGAAAAAATAAATATGAATATGAAACTTAAAAAAACTATTTTAGTGTACTTATAAATTAGGGCAAAATAAATCACCATCTCTTCCTTAACATAGATACCTCACTACTATTTTAAAATCTATGCAAACCTTTCTTAAATTAATGGCACAAAATCCATTTTACTTTTTTAAGTTTTCATCTTCATTAAATCAATTATTAGTGGCCAGTTAGGTCACATATGTTAGACTATAATACCCTTCTTTAAATATAATTGTCATTTAAAAATTATTCAAGGTACCCTCAAAACATTTTAAGGATATATTCTTTTAAACTTCTATTCATGTTCCAAATTTCAAATTTAAAGAAAATGAGGTGACTTTTATTTAAAAATTGACAATGATATCAAGATAAATATAAAGCATTGAGCCCTTTTTGAAGACATATTTAAGATAGATAAAAAAAAAATAAGTATAGGAAAGAGGTAGAGATAAATAATAGAAAGTGTGAAGATTGAAAATATATAGTGAGTTATAGGCAACAAATCAAGTAAAAGAAAAAGGAAAAAAAGAGAAAGAATGTAGTGAGTTATATATGCTCTGTGTGCATGCTTGTTTCTTCAAGTCTCACATAAAAAATATATATTTGTAAGGAAAATAATTTAAATATGCTGTATGCACATGCTTCTTTCCTCAAGTCTCACATAAAAATATATATTTTTAAGGAAAATAATTTAAATACTTGATAACATGATACTTACTTTATGAATATATGATTAACATTCTTCATAAATGATGCATTTTTTTTTTAAAATTGAGAAAGATATAAAAAAAAAACACAAAGCAATAAGCATTTTTTGAAGGCATATTTAAGCGGAACAAAAACTCAAGTTTAAACAAAAAAATTATACAAAGATAACAAGAATTGCAAAGATTAAAATATGTGCTTATATTTTTAAAAAATATCTTTAAAATGAAGTAAAAATCAACAAAAAAACTGGATGAAAAAATTTAAAGAATGTGAAAGATGAAGCACTTTTTCAAAGAAATCAAGAAAAATTTAAAGTATTAAAAACTGTCTAAAGCCACATTTAAGCAACAAAAATCAAGTTTAAACAAAATATATAGATAAATGATAGGAAGTGTAAAAACTAAAAATACACTTACTTAAAAAAAAAAGATCGAAATGTAAAAAAAAAATACATCAACAAAAAGAACATAAAAAACGAGAAAGAATGCATTGAATTTAAGGAAAATACTTTGAATTATTGATAATATGATACATTTTAAAAGAGTATATCAGTTTAACATTCTTTACAAATGATGAATTTTATTTAAGATTTGAGAAAGATATCAATAAAAATGTAAAGCAATAAGCATTTCTTGAAGACAAATTTAAGCTAAATAAAAAATCAAGTATAAGCAAAAAATAAACAAAGATAAAAGGAAGTGCAAAGATCAAAAGATGTGCTTGCATTTTTAAAAAATAACTTTAAAACGAAGGAAAAAATGAACAAAAAAGAACAGATGAAAAAAATATAACGAATGTAAAAGATGACTTTAATTTAAAAATTGAGAAAGATATCAAGAAAAATTTAAAGCATTCAACACTTTTTGGAGAAAAATTTAAGCTAAAACAATCAAGTTCAAACAAAAAAAAAATATAGATAAATGATAGTCAAGTGTAAAGATTAAAAAATATGGTTATAATAAAAAAAATCAACAAAAACAACATTAAAAAATGGAAATAATGAAATGATTTTAAAGAAAACATTTCTAATTCTTGATAAAATGATACATTTCAAAACTTGACATAGATATCAATAAAAACATAAACTAATAATAAGCATTTTTTAAGACATATTTAAGAAAAATAAAAAATAAGTTTAAACAAAAAAATTATATAAAGATACCAAGAACTAAACACATGCTTATATTTTTAAAAAAAATATCTTTAAAATGAAGTAAAAATCGACGAAAAACACAGGATGAAAACAAATTAAAGAAAGTAAAACATGATTTCAACTTACAAATTTAGAGAGAAATCAAGAAAATTTAAAGCACTACATATTTAAGCCAAAAAAAAAGTTTAAACAAAATATATAAATAAGTAATAGGAAGTGTAAAAACTAAAAAATACGCTTATATTAAAAAAAAAGCTTTAAAATATAAAAAGATCAACAAAAAGGAACAATTAAAAATGAAAAAGAATGCAGTGAGTTTAAAGAAAATACTTCAAATTCTTGATAGTATGATACAATTTATAAGAATATATGAATTTAACATTCTTCATAAATGAAGAATTTTATTTAAGATTTGAGAAGGATATTAATAAAAATGTAAAGCAATAAGCAAATTTTGAAGACATATTTAAGCTAAAAAAATAAACTTTAAACAAAAAAAAATACAAAGATAAAAGTAAATGCAAAGATTAGAAGATGTGCTTATATTTTTAAAAAATAACTTTAAAACGAAAAAAAACAATAAAAAAGAGGGATGAAAAAATAAAAAAAATTGTAAAAATATGACATTAATTTAAAAATTGAGAAATATATCAAGAAAAAAATGTAAAGCATTAAGCACTTTTTGAGGACATATTTAAACAAAATAAAAAATCCACTTTAAACCCAAAATATAGATAAATAATTGGAAGTGTAAAGATTAAAAAAACCCATATATTAGTAAAGTTTTAAAATATAAAAAATAATTAAAAATGAACGATTAAAATAGAGAAGGAATGCAAAGAGTTAAAGAAAATACTTCTATTGCTTGAAAATATGATATATTTTGTAAGAATATATAAGATTTACATTCATCATTTTATTTAAGATTTGAGAAAAGATATCAATTAAAATCTAAGGCAATAAACATTTTTTAAGACATGTTTAAGCTAAACAAAAAATCAAGTATCAACAACACACACACACACACACACACACACACACACACACACACACACACACAAATATCATAGGAAGTGCAAAGATTAGAAGATGTGCTTATTAAAAAAAACTTTAAAATGAAGTAAAAATAAAAAAAGGATGAAAAAAATTAAAGAATGCAAAAGATGACTTTAATTTAAAAATCTAGAAAGAAATCAAGAAAAATTTTTAAATCAAGTTTAAACAAAATATATAGATAAATAATAGGAAGTGTAAAGATTAAAACATATGCTTATAATAAAAAAAATTGTGTTAAAATGTGAAAAAAAATCAACAAAGTGAACCATCAAAAACAAAAAAGAATGCAATGAGTTTAAAGAAAATACTTCAAATTCTTAATAATATGATACATTTTATAAGAATATATGAGTTTAACATTCTTTATAAATGATGAATTTTCTTTAAATTTTGAGAAAGATGTCAATAAAAATGCAAAGCAATAACCAATTGTTGAAGACATATTTAAGCTAAATAAAAAATAAAGTTTAACCAAAAACATATGCAAAGATAAGTAAATGCAAAGATTACAAGATGTGTTTATATTCTTAAAAAAATAACTTTAAAAAAAAGTAAAAATCAACAAAAAAGGGGTGAAAACAATTTAAAGAATGTAGAAGATGACATTCATTTAAAATTGGAAAAGATATAAAAAAAAAAAAGTAAAGCATAAGCACTTTTGGGGAATTAACTGGTTTTTTCTTTTGTTTGGGAATTTTTTTTTAAAACAAATCAAGATTATAATGTCTTCCCAATCATGCAGTAAGACTTTACAAACTTCATAAATCTTTTTAAAATTGAATAATGGCAAGGGAATCAAGACCCTGACCTCTTAGACTAATTGTTGCATCAGGGTGCTAGGGAAAAAAGTAAAGCGAGGATTGAAGTCCCTCTACATCAAATTAATGATAATTAGATCTCAATTATTATTTTTTTTACAAGATTTTTTTTTTCCCTCAAAGGAGCATCAAAGTGTGGGGCGGCAAGAGGATTCGTCACTGGTTACACATAAGATCTAACAACTAAAATACATGAACAAGATTCAGAATAGACATGTAAATAAACAACAAAGAAACTGAAAAAATAACAAGCAAATAGAAGTATAAAAGTTAAGAGATAAAGATAATGTAGGCCAACCTGATATGGACGGCATCTTCAAAGATCAAACTTCTTCGCTAGCAAGAGGAATGAAAAATAAGCTAGAAAACCAGACAAGAACAATGAGGCAGAACCATGTCTGCCAACATGAAAACCACCATCAGATTCATTATAGCTTCCGTGAAAGATCAAACTTATTCAAAGCAACAAAATAAACCGATGATCGAAAGAAATGTGAAAGAAGAAAGGACTTGAAGAAAGAAATTGTGTGATTTGATCCCAGTCGGAAGCTTTGAAGCAAAATTCACAGAATTCGATGAGATTATGGTAAAGGTAAGAGGACAGGCTAGAGTTGGTATAATATAGTGTAAGAAATCAAGCGTCCAGGTCTTCTTTATTCTTTGGGTAAAGAAAAAGAAAAGTTTTTATCTTTAGGGAAAATTTCATCAAAGACCCACAAAATGGACTTAATTCAAAAAAAGAACTATAAGAATATGAAATTATTCTACATGACCAGGGGACTGCAATAAATATAAAAATACCCCATACTCTTTTCGCCAAAAAAAAAAACAAACAAAAACAAAAAAGCATCCAACTTTGAGTTATAATTTGGATTTTAACATGTCATCATGCTTAGCAGTTCAGATTTTAACAAATTTAGAGTTCAGAACTAGATTCGGGGATGTTTTAGTATTTAAAAGAAAAAATAAATACAAATATGAAAATAAAAAAAAACTATTTTAGTGTACTTATAAATTAGAGTAAAATAAATCACCATCTATTCCTTAACATAGATACCTCACTACTATTTTAAAAATCTACGCAAACCTTCTTGAAGATATATTTAAGTTAAACACAAAATCATGTTTAAAAAATATAGATAAGTAATAGGACGTGCAAAGATTTAAAGATGTGATTATATTTAAAAAAACGCTAAATGAAAGAAAAAATCAATAAAAAGCAGGACGAAGAAAAGAGAAAGAATGCAATGAGTTACATATGGCGTATGCGCATAAAAAATTAAATAACTCCATGCTAAACAAGAAAAGTAAAATTGCAAAAAGTTGTTTAAATATTATAAGATGTCTTACATTTTAAATTAAAAATTACTTCTATAAGTTTTTTTACAAATAGGACTAGATGAAGTATGTCTTTTTTTAAGAATATAGGATAACAAGAATCTCAAAGTTTAGAAGATGTGCTCATATTCTTAACAAAATAACTTTAAAATGAAATAAAAATCAAGAAAAAAACTGGATGAAAAAATATAACAAACGCAAGAGATAACTTTAATTTAAAAATTGAGAAAGATATCAAGAAAAATTTAAAGCATTGAGCACTTTTGGAGGCAAATTAAGCTAAAACAAACAAGTTCGAACAAAAAAATACAGATAAATAATACTAAGTGTAAAGATTAAAAAATATGGTTATAATAAAAAAATCAAAAAAAAAAACAGAGAAAGAATGCAATGAGTATAAAGAAAATATTTCTAATGCTTGATAATATGATATATTCTTTTCCTTGTCTCCATAAATGATAAATTTTATTTAAATTTGAGATAGATATCATTAAAAATGTAAAGCAATAAGCAATTTTGAAGACATATTTAAGCTAAATAAAAGTCAAGTATAAACCAAAAAAAATTTATACAAAAAGATTAAAATATCTGCTTGTTTCTAAAAAATATCTTTAAAATATCTTTAAAGATTAATCAAAATATCTTTAAAAGCAAGTAAAAATCAACAAAAAAACTGGATGAAAAATATTTAAAGACTGTGAAAGATGAAGCACTTTTGAAAGAAATCAAGCAAAGTTTAAAGTATTAAGCACTTTCTAAAGACACATTTAAGCAAAAAAAAATAGATACATAATACGAAGTGTAAAGATTAAAAATACACTTATATTAAAAAATATAATTAAAATGTAAAAAAAAATCAACAAATACATCCATAAAAATGAGAAAGAATGCAATGAGTTTAAGGAAAATAATTCGAATTAAGATACAATTTAAACTACACAAATGATGAATTTTATTAAAATTTGAGAAAGATATCAATAAAAATGTATAGCAATGGGCATTCTTGAAGACAAATTTAAGCTAAATAAAAATCAAGTTTAAAAAAAATTAAATAAAGAAAGGAAGTGCAAAGATTAAAGATATGCTTACATTTTCAAAAAAATAACTTTAAAATGAAGTAAAAAATCAACAAAAAAAAACTGGATGAAAAAAATTTATAGACTGAAAGATGAGCACTTTTTGAAAGAAATCAAGCAAAATTTAAAGTATTAAGCACTTTCCAAAGACACATTTAAGAAAAATACATAGATACATAATACGAAGTGTAAAGATTAAAAAATACACTTATATTAAAATAATATATTTGAAATGGAAAAATAATCAACAAAAAATAACCCTAAAAATGAGAAAGAATGCAATGAGTTTAAGGAAAATAATTCGAATTTTTCATAATGGATACAATTTATACGCACAAATAATGAATTTTATTTAATATTTGAGAAGATATAAAAAAAAAATGTATAGCAATAGGCATTTCTTTAAGACAAATTTAAGTTAAACAAAAATCAAGTTTAAACAAAAATCAAACAAAGAAAAGGAAGTGCAAAGATTAAAAGATATGCTGCTTACATTTCTAAAAATTAACTTTAAAATGAAGGAAAAAAATAACAAAAAATCTGGATGAAAAAAATATAACTAACGAAAAGATATTTTAATTTAAAATTGAGAAAGATATCAAGAAAAATTTAAAACATTGATCACTTTTTGAAGACAAATTTAAGCTAAAACGATCAAGTTCCAACAAAAAATATAGATAAATAATAGTAGGGGTAAGATTAAAAATATGGTTATAATAAAAAAAATCAACAAAAACAACATTAAAAAAATGCAGAGAATGCAATGATTTTAAAGAAAATATTTCTAATGCTTTATAATATGATACATTTCAAAACTTGACATAGATATCAGTTAAAAGATAAACTAATAATAAACATTTTTTTAAGACATATTTAAGCTAAAAAAATAAGTTTAAACAAAAAAGAAATTTTATAAAGATAACAAGAACTAAAAAAGATTAGAACACATGCTTATATTTAAAAAAAAATTTTAAAATAAAGTGAAAATCGACAAAAAAAACAGGATGAAAAAACTTCAATTTAAAAATTTGGAAAGAAATCAACAAAAATTTAAAGCACTAAGCACTTTTTGAAGACAAATTTTGGCAAAAAAATCAAGTTCAAACAAGATATATAGATAAATAATAGGAAGGGTAAAAACTAAAAAATACGCTTATATTAAAATAATAGATTTGAAATGTAAAAAAAAAAAGTCAACAAAAAGAACCACAAAAAACGAGAAAGAATACAATGAGTTTAAAAAAAAATACTTCCAATTCTTGATAATATGTTATTTTAAAAAACTATATCAGTTTAACATTCTTCACAAATGATGAATTTTATTTAAAACTTGAGAAAGATACCAATAAAAATGTAAAGCAATAAGCATTTTTAAGCGCAATAAAAAGCCAAGTTTAAATAGAAAGTAAACAAAGCAAAAAGGAAGTGCAAAGATTAAAAGATGTGCTTACATTTTTAAAAAATAACTTTAAAATGAAGGAAAAAATGAACAAAAAAAACTGGATGAAAAAATATAACGAACGCAAAAGCTGACTTTAATTTTAAAAATTGAGAAAGACATCAAGAAAAATTTAAAGCATTGAGCACTTTTGAAGACAAATTTAAGCTAAAACAATCAAGTTTGAACAAAAAATATAGATAAATAATAGTAGGGGTAAAGATTAAAAAATATGGTTATAATAAAAAAATCAACAAAAAACAACATTTAAAAAAAATGGAAAGAATGAAATGATTTTAAAGAAAATAATTCTAATGCTTGATAAAATGATACATTTCAAAACTTGACATAGATATCAATAAAAACATAAACTAATAATAAGCATTTTAAGACATATTTAACCTAAAAAAATAAGTTTAAACAAAAAAATTATATAAAGATAACAAGAACTAAAAAGATTAGAACACATGCTTATATTTTAAAATATATTTTTAAAATGACGTGAAAATCGACAAAACAAAACAGGATGAAAAAAAACTTCAATTTAAAAATTTGGAAAGAAATCAAGAAAAATTTAAAGCACTAGGCACTTTTTGAAGACAAATTTAGACACAAAAATCAAGTTCAAAAAAAATATATAGATAAATAATAGGAAGTGTAAAAACTAAAAAATACGCTCATGTTGAAAAAAAAAAAAAGAGATTTGAAATGTCAAAAAAAAATCAACAAAAAGAACCATAAAAAACGAGAAAGAATGCAATGAGTTCATGGAAAATACTTCGAATTCTTGATAGTATGATACATCTTAAAAGACTACATCAGTTTAACATTCTTCACGAATCATGAATTTTATTTAAAACTTGAGAAAGATATCAAAAAAAAAAATGTAAAGCAATAAGCATTTCTTGAAGACAAGTTTAAGCGCAATTAAAAACAAAGTTTAAATAAAAAGTAAACAAAGCAAAAAGGAAGTGCAAAGATTAAAAGATGTGCTTACATTTTTAAAACATAACTTTAAAATGAAGGAAAAAATGAAAAAAAAAAACTGGATGAAAAAATATAACGAACGCAAAAGATGACTTTAATTTAAAAATTGAGAAACTTATCGAGAAAAATTTAAAGCATTGAGCACTTTTTGAAGACAAATTTAAGCTAAAACGATCAAGTTCAAACAAAAAATATAGATAAATAATAGTAAGGGTAAGGATTAAAAAATATGGTTATAATAAAAAAAATCAACAAAACAACATTAAAAAAAATGCAGAGAATGCAATGATTTAAAGAAAATATTTCTAATGCTTTATAATATGATACATTTCAAAACTTGACATAGATATCAGTTAAAAGATAAACTAATAATAAACATTTTTTAAGACATATTTAAGCTAAAAAAATAAGTTTAAACAAAAAAGAAATTTTATAAAGATAAGAAGAACTAAAAAAATTAGAACACATGCTTATATTTAAAAAAAATATCTTTAAAATAAAGTGAAAATCGACAAAAATACAGGATGAAAAAAATTTAAAGAAAGTCAAACATGACTTC